GTGTGTGTGTGTGTGTGTGTGTGTGTATGTATATATATATGTGTGTGTGTGTTTGTGTGTGTACATTTTTTATTACGAGCATCGTAGAAATAACAATGATCCAAACAAATCTGCTTGAAATATCATGGGAGGCTCTCCCATCCGTTGCTCGTTCTACAAAATTGTCATGTTTTCGTGTAATCCCTTGTATCTCCATCGATATATAAATGAATCATCACCGTTTCTTTTGATCTCTTTTGTCTTCATTGGCAGTACGGCGATATGGTAATCAAATCACACACAACGAATGACGTCGCCAAGATAAAGTTCGTGCCGTACAGGTGAGTGCTTATGACTCATGTACTGGTGAGTGGGCCTGAGTGGTGGTCAATGAGCCATGGACGCCGAGCTGTTACTTGAGGAGAGTGCTGCAGACACTACCACGCCTTGCTATATATATATATATATATATATATTGGTGCGTGTGTGTGTGTGTTTATAGTTACATATCCTACTTATCTGTATAGAATCATACCAACATTATATAATCTTCTCTATCATCCGTAGTTATTTTTCGAACACCACGCCTCGATCGGTAGTCGGAACTGTAGAAGACGGTAACGGCAATGTGGCCTACAATCTCAACGGCACCTGGGACATCTCTATGAGTCACTCGCCTGTGGTATGTACCATAACGCAGTATGTGTACATACACATACGTATGCACGTATGTGTAATAATGCATGTTAGGGTGTACTGGTTTATCTCTATTTAGCGCAGCCTGTGTACAAACTCATATGCATGCATGCATTTGGAGTAGTATATGCGTAGGTGTACTGTCATATCTCTATGAGTCACTCGGCTGTGGTGTGTACCAGTTCGCAGTCCGTGTATGTACATATGTGCATATACATATGTGTTGTACAGGCTGTGTATGTACATATATGCATATACATATGTGTTGTACAGGCTGTGCATGTGTATATTACATAGCTGTGGTTCAGGTTCTCGTTGTGTCACCTCACAAATATAGACTACAGAACTCAGATACACAATCATACGCGTTAATTAAGTACACCTTTGTGTACCAATAAAAGCGTACAAACGTTATACTCGTTGTATAAAGCCACTTTTATTCACCAGCGAAAGCGTACAAACTTTGTACTCGTTATGGAAGATCACCTTAATTCATCAAAAAAGCGTTCAAACGTTATACTCGTCGCACAACCCCGACTTTATTTCCCAACAGAATTTTTATAAATGACCCCAAGAATATCATGACGGCCAGGATGGTCAATATTCAACAAAAATGTACAAACGTTATAGTCGTCGCACAAGCCCACCCGCCTTTATTTCCCAGCAAAATCCCCACAAACGTTTATTATACTCGTACCAGAACGACCCCAAGAATATCACGACGGCCTGGACGGTGAACAAGCTGCCTGACAATGCAGATAAGATGTATGGCTACGGCTACTTTGCCTGTGTGCTCAACGATCCCCAAGGCGCTGTTGGGGTAGCGCCCACAGACTCCCGACTTAGACCGGACTTGGTATGTGTCTATAAAGTAAATACGAAGTAATTGGAACTAAGAGATATCGGATGTGTGGTTGTGGAGGCTATATATATATATATATACATATACAATAAATATATATACA